TCCTTGTGCCGCTTCGTGGCCGAGGAGCGCCGTGGCCAGCGGCGCCCTCCTCAATTCCTTACTGGGGGCTCCCTCGCTGCACCCAGGGGCACAACTCGTTGGGGCTCCTCGCTTCGTTCCTCGCGGTGTTCCTCGCTGCGCTGCGTTCCCCGTGGCTCGGGGTTCCTCACTTGGGGGTGCCTCGTCGCATCCAGAGGTGCCTCGTTGCAGCTTCCCCCGCGGCTTTGGTCTGCTTGGGGCGTCTTCGCCTCTTTCCGCTTCCCGACGCTCTACGACGGCCCCAGGAGCCCCCAAGAGATCGCCCCGCGACGGCCCAGAGTTCTCCAAGAGCTTCCCCCAATGGCCCACGAGGGCCCCAAGACGTCCCGAGACGCCTCCAAGACAGGCCAAGAGGCACCCAAGCCGGCTCCCAGAGGGTGGCTCCACATGTAAGAGTGGCCCTTCTCCAGAGTGACCGCGGTTGTTGATTCGTTGAGGTCCCCCGATCGCCGTTCGGGGTGTGTGTGTGTGTGTGTGTGTGTGTGTGTGGTGCAGAAGCGGCCTGCGAGCTTGGGTTTGCCTTCCCCCCCCTGCGCCACCCCTGCAGCCGCGCCCCAACAGATAACACTCTTGCCGATCCCTTGCGTGTCGACGAGCTCTGCCCGAGGCGAGAGCCTGTTTTTCTTTAGTCTGAGGCAAGTTTACTTGCATGGCGTTCGCCCCCCCTCCTCCCCCTCCCCCTCGCCCTTCCTCCATCAAACACGAGCGCGCAAGTGCCTTTCGACTTGCGTGGCTTCCGCACGTCGGAGGTCGTTTGCGGCTTGCTTCAGGTTCAGCCCCCCCCCACGTCCATGCAAGTAAACCTGCCAGAGTCGGAGCAAAAACAGGCTCTTAGGGTCTTCAGCCGCAGAGGGTGCATTTTTTCACCTGGAGGCCGTCTCCCAGCTATGGGACCCTCCAAAAGCAGCGGCCCTGGGCGGAAAGCTCGACCCGGGGAAACAGGGTCGAGAGTCGAGGCAGAGGGAAAAAAGCGAAGATGCGAGGGGGGAGGAAAACGAGGAGGGAACATGAGGATTAGAAGGAAGAGGCGAGTGAGGATGCTGATAATGCTTCGGCGGAGGAGCGAGAGTTAGCAGTGGCCGGCGATGTGGAAAAAACGCATGTCGTCTTTTTCGTGGTCGTCGTGGTCGCCGTCGTTGTCGTCGTGGGCATCGTCGTCATCGTCGCCGTCGTCGTGGTCATCATCGTCGTCGTCGTCGTCGACGTCGCCGTGGTCGTCGTCGTCGTCGCCCGTCGTTCTGGCAATAAAAGCTGCGTTCTGGGCCTGGGGCCCAGGAGCCGCCCGTCGTTGTCGGACGCAACTCCCTATTGGGCGGGAGCGGGCTTATTGTGAAAATCCGCTCATGGCGGAAATGCGCGACGTCTGGCGAAACAACTTAGCGATTCGACGCGGACGGGCTCAGGTTCACTGCGTAAGTTCATACACAGGACGCACGTCCCGTTGCCCAGGGACCCCACCTAACGATTGGGCGGTGGCACGTATAGTGTTTCAAAGCACACACGGGATGCACTTCGCGCAAAGTGGCGCGCCCTGGCGCGCCCACTTACGATCTGTCGTTTCTTCGTTCCGTGCGTGAAAAATGGGGCGGGAAACATCGATCGCGAAGTGGAATTGCTTGAATGTAAAGCAAGATTTGTTTTATCAGATACTTGTCTCACTTAGCGATGGACGCTCCCCGCCCTATTCGTTCAGACGCCAAGCGCGGAAAACATCGTAGAGTGGGCTCGCCTGGGCGCGCCACTTTACGCGAGGTTCGTTCTGTGAATGAATTCACACACTGAGCCCGCGCCCGCCCGATCGTTAAGTGGCATCGCTGGGCAACTTAAACTGCGCCCCGTGTGGAATTTACATAATCGAACCCGCCCCCCGCCGGATCGTTAGCGCGGTCCGTTGGACAACGCCTCGCAGGTCCCACTGGTCTCGTCAGTCCCACGGGTCCCCCGGGCCTCGCAGGTCGCACAAGTTTCACGGGGTCCGCAGGTTTCGCTGGTCCCACAGGTCTCGCAGGTCCCACGGGTCCCACAGGTTTCACAGGTGCCACAGGTCGAACAGGCCCCGCGGGTCCCACAAACCCTACACGCCCCGCAAGGCCCGCAGGTCTCTTGCAGGTCCTAACAAGGCCGACGTTTTGCACAGGCCCCACATGTCTAACAGGCCCCACAGCTCCCACGAGTCTCGCAGGTCGGACAGGTCGGACAGGTCCCGCACAACCCGCCAATCCCGCAAGTCGCCCAAGTCCCGCATGTCTCGCAGGTCCCACAAGTCGCACAAGTCCCACAGGGGCACAAGTGTCACACGTCCCACAGGACCCACAAGGCGGCACGCTAAAAGACGAACGGTGATCGCGCGGAAACCCAATACTCCAGCAGAATTACCCATCCCCGTGAAAAAAGAATACGGCAAAAGTGGCACAGGGATGGAAGCCGAAAACATGTGGAATCAAGCCAGGCGGGGCCCGTCGCATCAAGTGACACCCGCCTGTCAATATGACGGAAAAGTGTATCGTCAGCATTGCGCGTTGCATGTTAGCCATCCGACTTGTGGGAACGAAACCGCAAGGCAGAACGTGGAGCCGCCCACGCCAGCAGCCGTGTGAAGGATTGACTCGGGAGAGCACCCGGGCATAAAGTGGCGTCCGCCTCCAAATGTTGCCACTGGGCGCGCAAGCCAAATCGTGGCATATCAATGACCTGGCCCATGGTGCACGCCTGCGCACGCTGCCAACATAGAAAGGCGAATATCATGTATCCTCTTTTGGCGTTGTCATTTGCAGATCATTCACGATGATCGTCTTGTTGATTTTGTTTTAACTGTTTTCCCGGTTGTGTATGTGCATAGAAAGACCAGCCGCCGCGACTTTCGTGCGACGCCCAAATGTGCGGGAGATAAAAGGCACACCGAGATCCGACGACGCGAAAACACACTGCAACATTTACAACCCGAATCACGGACCGCATCTTGTTGCTGCATTCTTCGAGCTGGATCCAACCCAGACCCCCTCGAGAAATGAAACAAATCACGACGGGAGATGTTTCGTAATTTTCGATTTCTCGGGGCACTTATTGGGCCTCGGGGCCGTCAAAAAACGACTCAGGATGACAAGCCGGTTCCTGGGAATCTGTTGGAGACCTTTGGGGGTCGTTGTTATGAAGAACTCATGACGTCGGGGGTCTGGGTTTGAAAATCGCAAGCGCCACGATGTTAAAGGTACCTCTGGTCCCAGAGCCCCGACGTCATGATTTGTTCATTCTGGCGACCCCCAGAGGTGCCCGGTAAAGGCCCCCAGAGGCCGAGAATGGCGAACAAATTCCTCTCGTGATTTTTTTATTGCTCGAGAGGGGTACCTCTGGTGGGCGCGCCCACGCCTGCAGCGGAGGCCCTCGAGCGCCTCGGCATGCACGGCCGGTTCCGGGCGTTCGGCCAGGCCCGGTCGGAGACGCAGCTGCGCAGCGCCACCGGCGTCGAGGCTCTCCGGCGTGCCCTGTGGCGGGTGGCCCCCACTGGGCAGGTGCAAGGGATACAGTGGAGACCCATGCCAAGAAACACCCTGCTTGCCTCCAGGGTGCCCGGGGTTTCTTGGGTTTCGATGGATTTGCGATGGAAAGCGTGACGTTCCCACACCAAAAGTCGATGGACGTCTTGGGGTCTCAGGGTTGGGTTTCTTGTGGGAGGTTTCTTGTGGACTGGGCTCCAGTGTAAGGAGGGGGGAGGCAACGCCGAGGTCCTGGCGCTGCAATCCTAGAAATGCTCGCGTCGTAGACAAATCAGGGCAGAAGGTTTCTGGCCATGTTCGGCCTCTGGGGGCCCTCGCCGAACCCCAGGACCGACGACAAGTCCGGAAGGAAGAATCCACCACGGGGAAGGGGGACTTCTGAGGATTGAACAAATCAGGACTTCGCATGTTGGGGAGGCAACACCAACCTTGAGATCCTGATGTTGTAGTTTCTGTCACGACGGGCGATTTTTGATTTGCTGCGGGCCCTGGGACCCTCACAGGTCGATCTGCCTTGAAACAGTTACAGGAATACGTGGTCCTGGACTCCTCGCCGTGGTTCATCACCATGTTGTATCTTTTCGCGTCGTCGGGTCTCATGGGAGGGTCGGTCTCGGGACCTCCCTGGGACCCAGCTGACGGATCGGTTGGACTCTGCCTGCCCTGTGCCGGGGTGCCTCTTGGAGAGGTGGGGATTTTCCTGGTGCCCAGCTGGCGGATCGGCGGTTCGGCTCTCGTCTGGCTCTGAGCAGTTCGACTCCAGCTCGGCTCCAGAGCGACCCCAGTCGACGGACGTGCGACGCAGCACCGACGCAGGAGTGGAGAGCGAGCTGCTCCAGGAGGGCCCCCGCTGTGGGCCTCGGACCCAAGGGGGTCATCACGACAGGGTTGTGGAAGTCGATTCATGATGAGGAAGCATGCTGCCAAATAATTTCCAGATGTTCAAAGCATGTTCCCAATATGTAAACCATGTTTGAAACATCTTTAGACATGTTTTACCCATTTGCAACACATGTTTAATTCAATGATAGGATTGTTCGAGTGCCCATTGTCATGGCACCCACAACCACAGGGTGGCCTTCCGCCTCCGAGGATCGACGCTCGAGGATCGAGTCGGGGCTTCTCTGGGGGCCTCCTCGGGGCGGGCGGTGGCCCCGGAGCGTCGGGCCGCGGACGGCGGACGGCGGACGCCTGCCTTGCCTCGCCTTCTGCGGCGGCGGCCGGGCGCCCGGCGCACGCACATCCAGCCGTGCCGGCGCCTCAGGGAGCCCGCAGGATTAGGTCGGGCATGCTTTCCTACAGGCGGATCTTGGGAGAAACGTACAGCAGAGCCAGGACATATCCTGACTGAAAGGTGGTCAACATGACAGAATCGTCAGACATAGGAAGATACATAAAGAATGTTCGGAACATCGTCCCCCGACTTTTTGTAGTATTTTTGGGCATCCGTCCTGTAGAGGGACATGCCCGACTTTAACCATAGGAGGAGCTCCCCCCCCGCGGCGCAGCCAGCGCTTACAGCTCCAAGGGCGGGCCGACGGCGGGCGCCCCGCCATGGGGTCGGGCGCGTCCGGCGCGGGCGGCAGCAAGTACCAGGCCCCGCCCGGCGACGCCGGGTCCCCGAGCGGCGAGCCCTGGGCCAGGACGGGGCCGTGCCCGTGTCGGCCACCGACATCGGGCGCCTCCAAAGCATGGAGGAGGAGGAAGAGGAGGAGGAGGAGGAGGAGGAGGAGGAGGAGGAGGAGGAGGAGGAAGGGAGGAGGAGAAGAAAGTGGAGGAGGAGGAGGAGGAGGAGGAGGAGGAGGAGGCGTAAGTTTTCCATGGTTTCTGGCCCCTCGGAGCTCCCGCCGTGCCACGGGGCCGTCCAGAGACTACTCGGCATGAGAGCTGGTCCGAGGGGCCCGTGTCTCGAGGAATATCGAGACGCTGGACGTCGGGGGACGTGCCAGGGTGGCGGGCCCGCAGGGGCTCCGCTCGGCGGTCGGCGCATGCGCGCCTGGGTTCGGCCTCCCCCGCGGCCCCCCCGAGGCCGCGGTCCGGAGGCCGCTCGTGCAGCTGGCTGGGATGGACTCGTCTGCGGGCGCCTGTCGGCAGAGCAGGCCCGTCACGCACTGCTCAACGCGGTGGGGGTCTGGGAACGTCCCAGACCACCCACCTCTGCATGCCTACAGACGCGCGCGCTGGCCGAGGTTTCGATCCGTCGAAGCACAGGGGAGCTGCTGCGGTCGGCGTGTCGGGGGCCCGCGCCGACTTCGGCAAGACCTGGTGCCCCAGAGGTCCCGTAGTCCGTAGTCCTGCCCCGCCCTCCGCCGCCGCGAACGGCGCCGACGTCGAAGAGGCAGGCCCGAGCTATACCTAGGTTTCGTCGGCGTCGCCGGCGGACGCGGGCGCGGGCCGCTGGCGGCAGGGCGTACTGCACGCGGGCGCTAGGGCGGGTGGGCAAGAAGAGGGCGGCCGCGGAGGAGGAGGAGGAGGAGGAGGAGGAGGCGGGAAGGACCCAACCCCCGATAGCCGGCGCATGGGCAACGCGGAGGCGGCCTCAGGCACCGAAGATAGTGCAGATCAAGAGGCAGAGCAGAGTGCCACCCTCGCTACACACACACGAGAAGGATGCCCGGCCCGGCCGGCGAGCCACCCAGGAGCCTTTTCCTGCGGAGCCGCTCCGTGGAGTCCCCCGCAGCCGAGGCGCCCGCGGCCGCGCGGCGATCCCGAAAGGCCCGCTCGTCGTCGTCGTCGTCGCCGCCGCCGCCGCCGCGCCTTCGTGCGTTGTCCGTCGGTCGGGCGGGCGGGCGGTCGATCGGTCGGTCGGTCGTCGTCGTCGTCGCCTTCGCCGTCGCCGTCGCCGTCGCCGCCGCCGCCGCCGTCATCGTTGTCGTCGTTGTCGTCGTCGTGGTTGAGCGGGTATGGGCGGGTCGTCATCTTCATCAGCAGGAGCCCTGACTTCGAGTTCAAGGCGGCCTGTATCGCACAGTGATTGTGTGGCGGCCTGCTCCCAAGCCAGCGGACTCACGGGCGGGTCGTGAGGGCGGGCCCTGTCGGGCGGGTCGGGCGGGCGGGATGTCGAAGCAGGCTGGCGGGTTTCCAGACAAGCGAGCGGGCGGACCTTGACGGGCGGGCGGGGCAGTGACGCTGGCGGGCGAGCCCTGACAGGCGGGTCGGGCGGGCGAACCGTACTGGGCTGGTCGGGCGGGCGGCATTATCATTTTCCGTAAGCGTTTTCTGTCTTCGCTATCCTCCCGTCTTTGATCTCCCTCCTTGGGGACACCCGCTTGACAGTTCCACCCGCTTACTTTGATAATCCAATTGGTAGTCCCTCCGCGTCTTCGCGCTAGTCCACCCTGTCATACATGTCCTTCTCCTCCTCCTACTCCTCCTCTTCCTGCTCCTCCTCCTCCTCCTCCTCCTCCTCCTCCTCCTCCCTGTCCCTCGTTCTCCACCTCCCTTTCATCCTCCGCATGCTCACCTTCTCATCCTAATGGTCATCATTTCCCCCTCCGCTTTCACCTCCACCCCCCTCTGCGCCCTTCTTTGGCCCAAGGCGGAGGACGTCGCCAGGGCGCAGAAGTGGTCCAGGGCGGAGGTGGAGGCGCTGTCGGTCCCGCAGCTGATCCAGTGGCTCGAGGCCCTCGGCACCGACCTGACCGCCGTGTGCGACAAGGACCGGGGCTCGATCTCTGGCGGCGCGCGCGAGATGGAGCCGCGAACGGGCGGCCGTCTAAGATGGCGGGTGGCTTCTTCGACTGCAGGGGCCGTCTTAGCAGCACCTTGGGGCCTCTGAGACGACCTCTAAGAAACCAGGACGGATGTTGCGGAGGTCCCCGCCTTCCTAGGAGACCCCCGCCCTAGGGAGGCCGTCCCGCCTCGCCACCCTTTTTGTGCACGCTGCCAAGATCTTCTACGACCAACGCAGCATGTAAGGGGCATTTGGCAGATGACCTTCTAGACTAAATATCGACCGAGTCGGCCCGCCGTCGCGCCCATCACAGTCGGCTGCGTTCGGTCGGTCGGGGTCGGTCGGTTGTTGTGCCGCTGCGCCCTTCTTTTGGTCCATCGGATTCGGTTGGTTTAGGTGTCTTTATCGTTTCTGCCGACCTTGGATGCTGGTGTCGCCGTGGACGTCCTGCGAGCGTCGGGCCACGAGAGGACCGCGTGCTCGCGAGGCTGTGGCAGGAGATACAGAGGCAGCGGCCGCCGGAGCTCGCCTCGTACGATCAGCCGGAGCACGTGCTGGACTGGCCGCTGGTGGAGGCACTCCGTTGGCTTGAGCACCTCGGAGGGCTCGACCCCACCGTGTGTGCGAAGGACCAGCTGGTCGCGGTGGTGCTGGAGCGCGGTGAGGAGTTGCCCCCCCCCGACGTCCTGCACGAGCGCGCCGAGGAAGCCTTCGTCACGCAGGTGACGCAGAAGGTGGCCACGGTGAGGCACGCGGCGGTCACGCTGCTGTCCCACCTGTCCGCGGAGATCCGGGGAAGACCAAACGGCACGAGCACAAGTGTTCGGAGGTCTGCGCAGATGTCTCGGGTCTGAGCCTCGGCGCTGGACCCCCCGACGGCGCCTGCAGCGCCGCCCCTGGCGCCCTCCCGTGCGCCAGGGCAGAGGGCCCAGGGCCGACGCAGGGAATCCGTCCGGACCTCAGAGGTTCGTATCCATGCCGTTGCGTGTTGCCCCAGGAGATGCAGGAGGAGGCCGCCCTGGAGCGGATGAAGCACCCGTGGTGCCCCAACGGCCGGGTCGCAGTGGCTTTCCAGAGCGCCGCCCACAACGTGGCGGCCGGGGCCGAGGGCTCGACGTTCGTCGACGTCGCGGTGGGCGACCACGTGGACGTGACGTTCCATGAGGCCAGCGGCTGGGCCTGGTGCATGCTGGACGGTGGTGCACGGCAGGGCTGGGTGCCGTGCAGCTGCGTCATGGAGATCGCCCGCGCCATTGAGGACCACGTGCCTCAAGGCGGCGAGGAGGACGGCTCGATGGCGCTGCAGAGCGGCCAGGAGCTCCAGGTGGTGCTCCGCCACTACAGCGGCTGGACCCTGGTCAAGACACGCGATGAGGCGACGGGCGAAGCTGGCGCCCAGGGCACTGATGTGGAGTTCAAGGGACACGAGGGCTGGGTGCCAGACTGCTTACTGACAGAACACCCCCGCAACGTGTCCAATAAACAGCAGCACCTCGTCCTCTCCGCGCTGATGCGGCTTGCCCAGGAGGCCGTCGGGATCGAGCGGTCTTTCCAACAGCTTGTGGCGGAGGCGTCTGGAGAGCCCCAGGACCGCGAGGTTCACGAGGCCAAGCTGAGCGACCTGTACCAGCAGGTGGAGGCGCTGCTGAAGGAGTACCGCGGCATCTATTCCTTGGCCACGGCCCAGGTGGAGAGCGCCGCGGTTGCAAAGGCGGAGCGAATGGAGAAGAAAGGCGGCGCCCTCGCTATCAAGGACCCGGAGGGCGCGACCCAATCTGGGGAGGGAAAAGGCGCAGCGTCAGTGTTGGCGAAGGCCAAGCCCCCGAGAGAGCTGCCAGGGTGGGTGTACCTGGACTCCCAGTGCGTGTGGAAGTCGAAGTCGCAGGGCAAGACCATGCCAGTGACCATCAAGAAGATCTGCGAGGAGCGGCGGCAGGTCATTGTAGTCTTCAATGCCGACGGCAAGTCCCGCAAGGTGGTGTCCTTCGACGACCTGAAGGACCCAGACGCCTGCCCCCTGCAGCCCGCGGAGCAGAGGACGCGCAGTGAGCAGAAGCGCCTCCGGCGCGCGGCGCGCGCCGAGCGCAGGGCCAGGAAGAAGCAGGCTGCTCTCGAGGCGGATGCGCGGAACGAGCACGAGCTCAAGAAGGGCCTGCGCGGCATGATCGCTGAGCTGGGAGCGGTGCCCGAGGTGGACGGCCTCTCCAGCGAGAGCTCTTCCAGCGCCCGGAGCTCCTCGAGCGCGTCGAGCGAGTCGGTGGAGGACATCACCGAGGTGTACGAGCAGAAGTCGATGCTGTCGCTAGTAGGCTCGCCAGCATCCAAGCAGGGTCCAGCGTCGCCAGCGCCGTCGTCGCCGGCGCCGGCGCCCAAAGAGGGCCCAGCCACGCCGCGGGGTTTCGGGAGCCCGTCGCCGCCAGAAGCGCAAATGGCGCCGCGCGGCCCCCCAAGGCCGCCAGCGGGGCCGGTGCAGCCGCAAGAGCAGCCGCCTCTGATGCCGAGCCCCTGCTTCGGCGACGGGCGAGGCGGCGAGCCCGCGTCTGCCAGGGGGTCTGCCAGGGGGGCCGGCGGGAAGTCGGCTGGAGATGCCACCGAGAGCTTGGCGTACAGCGACAGCGCACGGACAGGGCAGACCAGCCTGGCCGGGGCCGGCGAGGCCGCGATTGCGGTCGACGCCGCGGCCAGCGAGAGCGCCTCAGCCGACGTCGCGGCCGACAGCAGGGGCCCCGAGAGCGGGGATGTTGCCCAGCACCCAGGGCCCGCTGTGGGGGCCTTGGCGGAGCCAGAGCCGGGCGAGGCGGAGGCTGTGGCGGCGCGGGTGGAGGCCGCGGCGGCCTTGGCGGAGCCAGAGCCGGGCACCGAAGGCGATGTGGAGGCTGCGGCTGCGCCGGTGGAGGCCGCGGCGGCTTTGGCGGAGCCAGAGCCGGGCACCGAGGGCGATGTGGAGGCTGCGGCTGCGCCGGTGGAGGCCGCGGCGGCCTTGGCGGAGCCAGAGCCGGGCACCGAGGGCGAGGTGGAGGCTGTGGCCGCGCCGGTGGAGGCCGCGGCGGCCTTGGCGGAGCCAGAGCCGGGCACCGAGGGCGAGGTGGAGGCTGCGGCCGCGCCGGTGGAGGCCGCGCCGGCTTTGGCGGAGCCAGAGCCGGGCACCGAGGGCGAGGTGGAGGCTGTGGCGGCGCCGGTGGAGGCCGCGGCAGCTTTGGCGGAGCCAGAGCCGGGCACTGACACCGATGGCAAGGTGGAGGCGGTGGCGGCGCCAGTGGATGCCGCGGCGGCCTTGGCGGAGCCGGAACCGGGCACCGAGGGCGAGGGGGAGGCCGTGGCTGCGCCAGTGGAGGCGGGGCCGAGTTCGACCGCAACCGAGCTGGCAGCGGGGGCGGCCGCGCGGGCGGCGCCGGTCCTGGCAGAGCGGGAGCTGGCCACCGAAGGCGAGCCAGTAATACCGCCCTCACCCATGGCCGAGCTTGTGGCCATGGCGGATGAGGCCGCGCAGTCGGAGTCGATCTTGGCAGAGCGGGACCTGGCCACCGAGGGCGCAGCAGCGGACGTCGTGGAGCCCCCAGCACTTGTCGAGCTCGTTCCCTTGCCCGAGGCGGCCGTGGCGGAGCCGGCCTCAGAGGATGTCGATCGAGGGCAGCGAACTCACTCCTGTCCCCCCTCCCCGCCCTCGAGTACAGCAGACCTCCGACGCTGTTTTTTGTTATTATTGCTTTTGTTCCTAATTTAGGCGTCAGAGGTCTGGACCCATTCCCAGGGACAGGCTGTTCACCTCGAGTCGTTTTGTGATTGTCAAAACAGATCTGCGCCGATTACTGGTCGATATCAGAGTGATAGTGTTGAACAGTCTTACACCGTCCTTGGGTGCGTGGCCGAAGTGAGACTTCGCAGCGCGGATTCTGCTTGTCGTTGTTGCTTGATGTTGATGTTGTTGTTGATCGAGGAATGTTAATTAACCAGTCTGGACCCCAAACCGTGTATGTCTAGCAGTCTATGTTGTGCAATCTGGGTGGGGCAGTCACTGCTTTGCAATCTACTTGGGGCAATATATGTTGCGAAAGTGCCATGCAAGCTACGTAATGCAACTACGTGTTGTTCAACTTATGTTTGCAATTGATATGTGGTGCAATACGTGTGGCGCAACCTGTGCTCTGCAATCGACGTGGTTTCTACGTGGTAAAAATCATCCTGCCGAATTTGCAGTTGGCAATTCCACTGCTCGCGCCATCACCCCACCCACCCACCCGCAACTTGGTTTGCAAAACCCTTGCGGCGGCGATTGCGGATGACTGTTTGGCGCTGGCTGGCGCATCGTTGCGGCCGCGCTAGCGCGCGCAGGCTCGCGCGCAGAGCGGACAGCTAGTCCGGCCCGACCGACGCGACCGCAGTGGCGCTGACCGCTGGGGACTTCCCAGCACGTCCTGCAGGCCGCGCTGACGCGCGGGCACTTCAGTGCAAGTCGGTTCTCGGGCGGACGCGGCGTCATGGCGACGTCGGTTCCGGCTGACGCGGTGATGGTAGCGACGATGTTGGTGACGATGGTGATGACGATGACGACGGCAAGGCCAATGACGGCGCCGATGCTGATCACGCCGATGACGATGATGGTGTCCACGTGTCGGCGATGAAGGGTATAGGGGGAGTTTCCGCGCGCGCGCGGGCGACGCCCGCGAGCGGGCCCGCATGGTTTGATTTGACAGGGATCGTGCCCTCCCCTGCACGCGCACAAGGGCGTTCGAATGATTTCGACACGCGCGAGCAAGAGGCCCCTTTGGTCGAATTTGATGAACGTGTTGAATCACTTATGGCTTTATGAAGCATGTGTCACGAGCGCGCGGGTTCGGTTTAGACATACATGCTGCACATCCGTTGTGTTTTGTTGTTCGATGTGTTTCCAGGAGGTTTGACGTTGAAGCCCTTTTGGCAGCAACGGTAGTTGAAGGTGTCCGGCATGCGCACGCGACAACGCGCGCGTATGGACGTTGCCATTTTGTTTCGCACATTGTTTTTGCAAGCTGATGTTTTGTGATATCGGAGTGCGCTCTCGTAGCACTACTTGATGATGATGATGATGATGATGATGCTGAGGATGATGATGGTGATGATGATGTGGGGGGTCGATACCTGGTTGGCTGGGGTGGTGTGTGTTCATATGTAAAACGAATGATGGGGAAGTATCGCAGGTGAATTGCACATCCCCAGGTGGTACGGAGGATAGTAATTCCGGCCTCGGGAGGGCAGTAGTTCTGAATTCTGTTTTGGAAAGGAGAACACGTTTTGTGTAATCTCTGTAGTGCAATTGATTTTTACTCATGATTTGACACATTCCAAGCTCTTGCAAACATCACACCCACCCACCCGCAACTTGGTTTGCAAACTATTGAAGACCGACTACGACGACACCGATGACAACGACTACGACGACACCGACGACGTCTCCGACGACTTCGACCACGACGACGACGACGACGCCGACGCCGACGACGACGACGAAAACGACGACGACGTCGCCAACGAAGACGACGACGAGGGAGGAGGGAGAACGACAGCGGCGACAACGACGACAACGACGACAACGACGACAACGACGACAACGACGACAACGACGAGGGAGGAGGGAGGACGGCGACGACGCGAACGACGAAGAAGGAGGAAGGACGGCGACGCCGACGACGACATTGACGAGGGAGGAGGGAAGACGCGACGACGACGACGACGACGACGACGACGACGACGACGGCGACGAAATAGGAGGGACGACGACGAGACGCCGACGACGGACGACGACAACGACGAGGGAGGAGGAGGAAGGACGACCACGGCGACAACGACGACGGAAACGACCACGACGCCAAAGAGGACGACGACGACGAACACGAGGAAAGACAGAAGACGACGTAGGCGACGACGGCGACGCGGGAAGAGGGAGGACGGCGACGACGACGACGACGACGACGCAAGAGCGCGCGCGCACGCTTTTGTTGAAAATCCGTGGTGCGAAACCTTGTGCTTTTGTAGGTTTTTGGGACACACGATTTTGAAATCCTTCCGAAACCGATGGTTTTCAAAGGATTTCGGCATACGCGCGCGACGACGCGCGCGTCTGCACTTCGTTCCATTTTGTGCAGAGGACTCTCGCGACGGCACACGCGCAAGGGCGTTCGACATATTCCCACGCGCGCGCGCGCGAAGCCCGTTTGGTAGCATGTTGTGAAAATATTGAAAGACCAATGGTTTTCTTACGATTTCGCCAGAGCTCCTGCGTAAGTTTCTTTTTAGCAAACTAGTGTTGCGAAACCATGTGTTTTTGTATGTTGTTTGGAAACTTGATTGCGAAATCCTTCCGACACCGAAGGTTTTTGAAGGATTTCCGGCATGCGCGCGCGACGACGCGCGCGTACCTTTTCGTCCCATTTTGTGCAAGGGACTCGCGACAAAGTCTTATGTTAGAACAAAAGATGTCCCCGCGTATTGTTTTTCACAAGGGAACCTCAGGGGGGCCGATACCGGTTCCCCAGGGATTTTGTAAATGCATTATAAGGATGGACATGTGGTCAGAATCATTTATGATTTAAATACCCGAAAGGGGGGCGGCGAATGCACGGGGGGGGGTAGAGTCTATTCTGTTTTTAGAAAAGAGAACTCACCATTGCTCAATTTGAATATGTCAACTCCGCTGCTCGCGCAATCACCCCACCCACCCGCACGCAAGTCGGTTCGCAAAACCCAGGCGGAAGCGATTGCGATGACTGCTTGGTGTTGGCTAGTGCATCTACGCGACCGCGCTAGCCCGCACATGCACGCGCGCGCAGCGGCCAGCTCGTGTGGCGCGACCGACGCGGCCGCGGTGGCGCAGACCGCTGGGCACATCCCAGCGGACACTTCAGTGCGAGCAGGCGATTTGGACGGGCGCGGTTTCCTGTTGTGGAAGATGGTCAACGGGGAGCATGCACAACACATCCGGCAAAAAAACATGCATAATTCAATGATCTAACGGTTATAGTGTCCATTGTCATGGCATCTTCAAATCTCATTGCAACGTCGACAACGGTAGACACGATGATGGTATTAGCGATGCCCGTGACACTCTTGACAACGACAGCAGCACGGCAAGTCACGGCGCCGATGTTTGTCACGCCGACGACGATGACGGCGTCTTCGCGTCGGTAGTGAAGGTTCGGGAAGGGGTTCGACATGCGCACGCGGCCGACGCGCGAGAGCGACCCGCATGGTATCATTTGACACGGATCGTGCCCCCCAGCACGCGCGCAAGGCCTTTCGAATGATTTCGGCATGCGGCGCGAGAGGCCCGCTTGGCAGAATTAGAGGGGTAGGTTGAAAAACCAATGGTTCTTTTGAAGATTCGCAAGTGCGCGAACGCAGGCTTTTTGTTTAAATCTGTTTGTTGCGAAATCATGTGTTGTAAATGTGGTTTGGGCATTCGCTTTTGACATTTCTACGAAGCCTACGGTTTCTGAAAGATTCCGGCATAGGCACGCGACGACGCGCGCATGTGCCCCTCGCCAATCGTTTTGCAAAGGATTCTTGCGACAGCACGCGCGCAAGGGCATTCGAACGATTTCGACGCGCGCGCGAAGCCCGCTTGGTAACATGTTCATGAACATGTTGAAAAACCAGGGTTTTCGTCAGAATTCGGAAGAGGGCGCGCGCAAACTGTTTTGGGAAATTCGTGTTGCGAAACCAGATGTTGTTTTGTTGTCTTCCAGATCTTCTTTGGAGACTGAATTTTGAAGCCTTGTGCGAATCTTAAGGATTTTGAACGGTTCCGGCATGCGCGCGCGACGACATGCGCGTTTGATGTTCGACGAATCATGCGCAGAGTATTTTTCAACATTTATGATTTGTGGAAAATGTGCGCGCGCGAGGGGTGGCGATACCGGTGTCGCTGGGATAGTGCGACTACATGTTTAAGATGGACCCTGGGGCAGGATCATATGCAAACTGCAATACTAAAAGGTGACCCGTGAATCCCGGGGGCGGGGTACATCCTAATTCTCTCTTCCATACAGGAGAATCTCTGCGGCGCAATCTCCGTGGCGCAGTTAATGTTGCACAATCTACGCGGCGACGGGGCGGCGACAGCGCGGCGACAAGGCGGCGACGGCGGGCACGGAACCGCCAGACCGACAGACAGGCCCAGACGGCTGGCGGCGACCAGGCGCCGACGGGGCGGCGACGGCGAGCACGGGGCCGCCAAACCCACAATCACTCCCAAACGACGGGCGGCGACAGGGCGGCGACAGGGCGGCGACGGCGAGCCCAGAGCCGCCAGACCGAAATCCAGGGCCAGTTCCTTAGAAGAGAAGCGAGAACCCCTTAAGTGCAAGCACGCACTACGTGGGGAATAGTTATTTGTGATCCCCCCATCCAGCGCCCAATGTGTTATTCAATTGATGTGCCCCTCCCGGGGCTCGCACCCATCTTTCTACAAGGGAACGTTTTGCACTTCAGATTGCGTCGTCGCCCCCCCGAACAACAACAACAACAACAACAACAACAACAACAACAACAACAACAACAACAACAACAACCACAACCACAACCACAACCACAACCACAACCACAACCACAACCACAACCACAACCACAACCACAACAGCA